TTATTAAAGTTATTTTGCAAAGAATCAAAATAAAATGAAACGTTTTGGTGCAAACCGCACATTATTCGCGGTGTCCTGATAGTTGTTCACAATTTCTCTAATTTGTCCGAACAAATAACTAATTCGTCCGAACGAATTTCTAATTTGTCCGAACGAATATCTAATTCGTCCGAACAAATAACTAATTCGTCCGAACGAATATCTAATTCGTCCGAACAAATAACTAATTCGTCCGAACGAATTTCTAATTTGTCCGAACGAATTTCTAATTTGTCCGAACGAATATCTAATTCGTCCGAACAAATAACTAATTCGTCCGAACGAATTTCTAATTTGTCCGAACAAATAAAAATATTTTTTTTACCTGGCCCTCCAATATTGCCAAATATTTTGTTAAACATGCAATTTTTTATTTCTGTTAAGCAGACTCAAACTTGACTTCCGGTTATGGTATGAAAATAGTTCAACCGTTAAATTACCGATGTTTACCAAATTGAAGATATCCATAATTTTAAGATACAAAATTCTTTACTTTACATAATTATTTCCCCCTAAATTAGGGTGTTGCGTTTCTTTTGCGTTTCAGTATATATCTATAAACCAAGATCCAAGTACCTGTGAATTTTTACCCCTAACCCCCCAAAAATCAATTTATTTATAATATATTTGTAAATGATGTATATTCGCTGCTTTTACCCTTCATGAAAATGAATTAAGATCATCTGAAGTACAATATCCATAACATTATAATTATGAGGTTTCACATAAAAGAAATCATTCTTCTTCAAGTTTTCACAAAAAGTGGGTGGGGATGGTGACGTACATCTACTTCATGAGGGATTTTCTTCCCTCTATAAGCCTGTAGTCTGTCAGGAAAATCTACAATTTACAACTACAATATATTTTCTGTTTAAATTCAATTTCCTGTGCTTGCGCGGGTTTTTATCTAGTATACTTTTATATGCAGCGATATACCTTCATTACCTGCATGTGGAGTTTATCTCTCAGTTGATTCGATACGTAAGATCATGCTCTACGTATGTACAATTTCTAAAACGAGGTAAATAATGGACAAACAGGTTGATGAAAGAAGAATATCAGCATTCTCGTAACCAATAATTCTACTAGCGGGGACGTCACAATTGTACAACTTCAAATAGAATTCGTAAACCGCTTTTGAAAACTAGCAGGGACTAAATTTTGGCGGAATTTTGGCGTATGAAAATATCCTCTTTTCTGCCTCTCAAAATTATGAAATAATTACAGAACATAATTTTTACACAGTCAAAGACTTGAGGAACTTCTCAAATGTAAGTTTAATTAATAATAAGGGACTAAAGTTCCTAAATTTATTAAACAAAAATGATTTTCAAACAAACTAGAACTATGTTAGCTTTTATAAGCTTCCAATCTGAGCAAATTTTTTTGTTTCTGTATCATTTTGCATGTTTTTGTGACAACTTTACCATATGTGAAAATGAGAAAAATTTAAATATATGAAGCCTGTAAAAAAAGTAATATATCCTAACTAAAAATTTAAGAAAAGTAGAGAAAATTTGGATTAGGCAATATCCATTTTAGCTAAATTATTTATGGCAATTTGGTTATATCATCTTATAGACCCTTTATAGTGGTATCTTTTTATGCAAAAAGAAAAACATCCAATCTTTTGAAATATAAGTAGGGATCGCATAATTGGCAGCAGTATTTCAGTTTTTTATTAATTATTAATGTCCAGGAAAAAGGTAATAAACTTGACCTGACCTTGTCTCTAGTATGAAACGGTCAAATTTAATCTCATTGATCATCACTTACTTACTAAATATTGTCGACTTGATTCTGTGAAAATTTCATTAATTTTAAATACAAGTTATATAAAGAAATATGAGAAGAATCCTACCTTAAAGTCATCATTTAGTAAGTTCTATGGTGGATATGATGACCTTGTCAGCAATTGGAATTTATCATTGAGTCAAATGCTGAGTTGGTTCATTATTTATACACACTAATTGAAGACGGATTTTTCCGTTATTTCCCGATCATGACAAGGAGCACACGGCGGATGTGACCGGTCGGCAGGGGATGCTCACTCCATCATGGCACCTGATCCCACCTTTGATGTTTTGAAGGTCTGTGTTTGCTCTGCTCCTATTTTGTATTGTTTTATGGACTTTTAGCTTGAATACTACTGTTCGTTATCTCCATATATTTTATGTTCATTTTTTCAATGTGTGTTGATTTTGAACTCAGATCGCACTTTAATTCTTTTTTCAAAGTGCGTTGCCACAAACCCTCTCCTTTTGGAATATTTTCTAGATCACTCACAGTTTGTGTTATGAAGAGGTTTTTTTTTAATTTACGAAACAAGGGTTGAATAGAAACCTTGTAAAAAGTTGAGGAACGTATCACAGTAACTATACAGTTCTAAACGGGAAAATGCAATTTCTTTCTTGATGTTACATAGAACTTGTCATTACTGCGTAAAGCCACCAAGCATACGGGAGCAAGGAAAGATAACTTAATGTAGAGTGCGATTTTGTGAACAATAATTAAAATAGTGACTGAGTATAACTGATAAACTATATATAAAGGGTTTATGTCGGAGGTTGATATTAGTTATATATATGCATCATAAATAGTGTAGCTGTAATATATTTATTAATATTATAAAAACTAAGAAATATACTTTTTGTTTTGAACATGAAAATATTCAATTTATCTGTCAATAATTCTACTAGCGGGGACGTTGCACATCGTTTAAGGGGAAAGGGGGGGGATGGAGAAAAAAAATCAACACTTACCTCAATGAACACAATGAATACAAATAAGAAATTTTACAATGCAAATGGAAAATATAGAATACAAGTAAAAAAATATATATAATTCATATGGAAAATTATATATAGTACAAATACAAATTATACAATAAAAATGAAAAAATTTAATTATAATTGTACAATACAAATGGAAATATATAGAATAAGGATAAAATTACACTATACAAATGGAAATTTATTCAATACAATTAAATGGAAAAGATCGAATATTGCAACGTTTGACATGCCATAGTTCTTGGGTATAAATATTTTAGACCTTTTGACCTTAGACTAAAAGTGTGACAAACTTTAACCTTGGTCATATCTTCGAACAGTTTGTATCATTTCTGTTCCCTAGGAATCATTGATTTATTTGATCCTTTAATCTTATAGAGTCCCCCCCCCCTTAAAAAATAGTTTAACATTGGCCATATTTTTTTTTTTTGAAAATATGGTTGGTACTTACCCAGGCTTTCTTATTTCATTGGTATAAAGTCATTGATACAATTAAATACATCCTTTCTTTGGGGTGGGGGGTCTTGACATTGGAGTTTATAACCAGGGACCCGGCTATATATATATATATACATGATGAACCTTGTGCAATAGTATAAAGGTCTCTGGTTTAACTCTGCATTTGAGACATTTAAACCTTCGCTATAGACTGCCATCGATGGCATCAGTGTTTTACAAACACATCTTCTTTATGCGCCCGGAGGGGCGTATATTGTTTTTGTCCTCTCTGTGTGTCTGTCTGTCTGCAAACTTTAACCTCCGCCATAATTTAACTTTCGAACCATGAAAGATAGAGACTTCATATTTGGTATGCGTACTCAACTAATTAATCTCTTTCCAACGATACTAATGTCAATGACCTTGTGACCTTGACTGTGACATGTATGCTAAAAATAGTATTTTGTTTTCCAACTTTAACCTTCGCCATAACTTTTAAACCATGAAAGATAGAGACTTCATATTTGGTATGCCTACTTGGCTCATTAATTTCTTTCATATGACACCAAGGTCAATGATCTTGTGACCTTGACTGTGATCTATATGGTAAAAATAGCTTTTTTGAACTTTCACCATAACTTTTGAACCATAGGAGACAGAGACTTAATATTTGGTATGCCTACTCCACTAATTAAGTTCTTTCAAATGACTTCAAGGTCAATGACCATTTGGCCTTGACTGTGACATTTATGCAAAAAATAGTTTTTTTTAACCTTAATCATAACTTTCGAACCATGAAAGATATATAGAGACTTCATATTTGGTATGCATACTCCACTAATCAAGTTCTTTCTCATAATACCAAGGTCGATGACCTTGCGACCTTGACATTGACCAAAAATATTTTTTGAACTGTGTTGCCGCCGGGAGTATATAGTGTTTCGCAAACACATCTTGTTCCTTCTTTTTTTTTTTCTTAGGATTGTCATTTTTTTTCCGAGGGACAGGAAAATTGACCCCCCCTTTTCAAAATCGATGCTTCAATATCGTTTTAAAACTATTATTTATATGTATGTCATTGTTCGCCTCGTTAATTGAAAAAATGAAATTTGTCGAGTTGATACATAGCCTAACCCTATACATGCTTAGCGGTGTTTACTGACTGATAAACAATGGTTTTCTTCAGAAAATGAGAAATAAAAAAATATTGGATGTAAAACTAGTAATAAGTGATGCATTTATCATCAAAGTATCTTCTGAGGTTAAAAGCTTTGAAATAGGACTAGGCTATGTTAACAATGGTTTTCTTCAGAAAATGAGAAATAAAAAAAATATTTGGATGTAAAAGTAGTAATAATAACTAAATAAGTGATGCATTTATCATCAAAATATCTTCTGAGGTTAAAAGCTTTGAGATAGGACTAGAACATTTAAATAATAATTGAAGTCAAAAAATATATTGGCCCCATAATGAGTGTTATGAAAATGATTCATGGTATTATGCAACTGTCATGTGAGTTTGGCGTAAGAATATGAAAAAAAAACATGATGTGCTATTTATTCAAACTTCTCTTAATAAACTTGAACTCCAAAAAAATAATAATAATAAAATGATAACTATAGTTCAAGGAAACCAGATTTTGCATCAATATTACACAAACCTGGTTGTATTATAAACTCGAACTATTTTGTTTCATAAAATCAAGGGAGATAATAGCAATAAACACAAAGATGGCGACCGAAGCCGAAAGGAAGCGACACTCTCGGTGTCTTGTTGTTTTTACGTTGTTGATTTACTTTGAATTGTCACTGGAAATTGACAGTAAAGATACACAGAAAAGGAAGCCATATTTAGATTTAGAGCGGTTAAAATCAAAATATGATAGCCGAACATTTGTGATTGATTCTGAACTTTTCAGAAGTGAAAATGGATTTGATGCTTCAAAGAGTGTCCCAGCAGATTTCAAACTGCGATCTAAGAGGGATGCAGCGTCACCTAAAAGTCATTCGCCTAGTGCAGTTTCTGTAAGCATAATTGTCAAAAAGATTGTTATGAGTAAAAACACAGGGGTCGGTGACAAAATCATCAATGATAACTTAACAAATAGCAGTCTGCATCTTTGTATAAATTTATCAGCTGTTTATTGATTTGCAGATGTAAGTGGTATCATATTCTATTCTATGGGGCAAATGCACTTTCTTGATGTTCTGCATTAATCTTCATAAATGTGATCATGCGATTGTCGTACTAAATAGCCATGCTTGCAAAACTTTTGAATTTGATGTATGATGAAGAATTGCACTGCACGTTTTTTTTGCAGGTACTCCCTTTCCTCAAAATACAACATGATTTGAATATTTATTGCTTCTTCTGTGGTTTAAGTCCTGCATATAATGACAAGTTTAGGTCTGTTGCACACAGAACTTCCTGGTTACTGGTGTTTATTACAGTTGTGAAATCAGCATTTGCCAACAGTGGTTTACAAACTTAACCTGTTTCTCTTGCAAGAGTCAGGGATGAAATAGTCACGTTTAGTAATCTACATAAACAAAGGGGCTAATCTGTATGCTTGTAAATTTTCATTGTACGTACCTTGTGTACCTTTACATAAATGGAACTTGAACAAACAAATGATCTAGCTTAGGGCGTGAAAATTTTGTATGTAATATAAAAAAGGCAATTGTACTGTACGTGGTATTGGTATTTTGCAGGGCAGATTGATATAGTTTTGGTGAAATATTGGACATGTTGGATAACAGCAATTGTATCTTACACATGTTCAACATCATCAGACTATATGATCTGTAAACAAAAACTTTTTTTCTGTGCCTGACAATATCAAAATAAATTTAATGTTAGTAACTGCCAGGTAAGTTCAGAAGAACATGTAGATGAAGCAAACCATTAAAAATTTAACTAACAGTAAGATGGACATGTTCATTATATTATAGGTGCATGTTTTACAAAAGTACAAGAAAACAGTGTAAGAACATGTGTGATTGTCAGGCAGGATTGATCACCAGTGGCCAGGTAGATCAGTTAGTAATAAATCTAACTAATGATTCAGCATGTTAGGTTTGATTCCTGGTCTGGTCCATCATATGTTTCTCCTTTCTGGTTACATTAAGTGCCTTGCTTTGATTTGGAATTGAACAAGTGAAAGCAGAAAGACCTGCCAGGGAAGAGCCCTTGTAGGTGTCTTTTGGGGGGTGAAGACCATTTAAGGAGGGAGAAATGTGGTGGTCACTCACCGCTAGGCAGGTTTCAGGCCTATTGACTAGTGATTTCAGAGGGCCTGGGTTGGAGACCTGGTCTGTAGCATTCTCTCCTAGTTGGTTACACATGTATATCAAAAAGGCACCAAATTATTATTGGTGATAACCATTGATTGCATTTGTTGTTTACTGTTGTTATTTATTTCACATTATTTGACAGAGTTCTTTTTCAATCATTCAGCAAAAATTCCATGACAAGCGTAAAAAAGAGGTTAAGTGGGGGAGAGGGATAAAGTAGCATAGCCCCCCCCCCACCTTCTTTCCCCTCATATCAATGATAATAACAGAGAATACTTATCTTTAATGATGTACATGATTTTACCATAAACTTTCCCTCATAACTTCTCTAATCTGTTCTATTATCTACCTAACCTTATAACACTTTACATCCAGTGACAAGATAGACTTAATTGTTTTTCTGTGTCTTTTCAGGTGCAGTTAAATGACAGTCATACACAGATGATTGTCCACTGGGCGGGGGCGGGGTCAGAGGTCATCATCGCCCTGTCCCGCAGTAGTCACCCCACCAACAGTTCCACCAGTAACTTATTCATGTCTTACGACTACGGGAAAAGCTTCCAGAACATGAAGCATTCTATTCTGATACCGCATGGAATGACCCCAATCATCCATCATTATTATAACAGCAGAGTGTATAATTCACATGTAAGAAAGCAGAGTACATTCAACATTAATCAAAAATTTAATAATTATTTCCAAGTATATATTGAAAAAGAGGAGTTGGAATTGATTTTTTTGAAAGGGTTATAAATTCCTTTGTTGGTATATTGCACATTGCAGCATAGTAAAACACTGTTTCTCTTTTAGACTATGCAAATTATGATTTGACATGAAATCTTATTTACCATATACCCTGGTAGTAATTGTATAAAATTGAGGATATAAAATGAAAATGTCCCTCTTTCACCCCTTAAAAGTGCATGTTAAAGTGCATAATTTTAAATATTGAAATACATTGTAATTAAATTTACATAATCTGAACGACAAAATATCCAACATTCTTTGATCTTGTTAAACCGTTGTGTCTACAAACAACAGCTATAAATAGCTTTTCTTAATAAGAAAAAAAGACCCGATGATTTGAATTTTTTGAAGTGTTACTGAATCTAAAAATTGGCTACTTGCCATTTTACTTCAATTTATGAAGTCAACAATTTTTTTTTTTTGTGAGATATTATTACTTTTCAAATGAAAGCAACAACCTTTTTTTTCGCCAATATAATATTACCTGTGCTAATGGTGTACTTAGATGAAGCAGGATGTGACAGACACCTGCATGATCTTAACGTATATTGTGACCAGTCACCTTGAAAGGCAAAATGTTGTCTTTCCTATGAAAAGTGATATGCTAGAAATATTTCCTTCCAAGTGGGTATAAACACAGAGAAATGCACATCTATTCATTACACTGCACCCCACTGTATATGTACAATTTAGAAAGCATTGTGAGAGAAATGGTAGTATGTGAAATTAATAATTTTTAAAGACATGTACTCTTCTTACACAGTTACAACTAGATTTTGAGCATTATACATGTTTATATTCTGCTTGTATTTCTATATTAATCATTGTTTGATCCTTTTTTTTCAGTACATATTTACAGACATTGTACATAATTATATTTTCACCACCCTGAATTACGGGCGAACCTTCACATCACACAGTGTGCCATTCAAACCAACAGATCTGAAGCTCCACGCAAGCGATCCTAACCTAGTTCTGGGGATGGACAAAAATGATACCAGTAAAAAGGTAAATAAGCGTCAAAGGTCAAATATAGTACCAGTAAAAAGGTAAATAAGGGTCAAAGGACAAAATGATACCAGTAAAAAGGTAAATAAGGATCAAAGGTCAAAATGATACCAGTAAAAAGGTAAATAAGGGTCAAAGGTCAAAATGATACCAGTAAAAAGGTAAATAAGGGTCAAAGGACAAAATGATACCAGTAAAATTATACCTACATGACTGAAAGAGTTAAATGAGCTTGTGTAGCATATTAAAATTCAAATCAATGGTACAACAGTTAGAGAAAATATTCACACTGTGTTGATCATAACAGTTGTGTCAATTCCCACATGTACTTTCTTATTTAATTGTTCGATATACATTTAAATGGTTGAAATTTCAATAAAAAGTGATGGCACTGTTTACTATGTGGACAGTGAAAATTAGAGACCATTAACTAAGAGAAAGCCATACTCGATGTATAAGCCAATCCAATGTGTCATAAAAAAAGTCAAATATAGAGTTTATGTGTTTGAGAAAATGTTTAATAATGATTGGCAGAAGGAATGGTATTCTATGCAGTTTCCTTGAATTGTGACAATATTTAAATATTTAAATTGACCTGATTATTCTTTATATTACAGCTTTATTTGTCCGAGAATTTTGGATACACATGGAGAATGGTACAACAAGGGGTTGTGAATTTTGAGTGGTGAGTTTTAGTCACTGTAACAATGATAACTCATGCACATTTTAATTTATTTAAAGACAAACGAATTGTTTGTGTGAAGCAAATAATTTCGGATAATTTTCAGGCCTTCTCAAATTATGATAGAAGAAAATGTTCAAAAAATTGGTTGTTTTTCATTTAAATAAAGTGACCTTGTATTAAACATAATGATTTTAGATTTGAAAAGGTTATAATGTCATTTTTAAGTTGATTAAACTAGACCACTGCATGTACGGTACACATCTGTAGAGTATTAAAACTAAGAAGATTCATGCATGTGTAAAATTTTATTCATAAAACATGTACACCGTATGTCTTTCCTTCGACTCCAGGGGAGAGGCCCCATATGACAATGACTCCATTATTTATGTTTTTCTTTTGACTCCAGGGGAGAGGCCCCTTATGACAATGACTCCATTATTTACGTCGAGCGGGAGCACCATTATATCGATGGCAGTGGGGGGTCTATCCTCAGCAGTGATGACTTGTTCAGAACGCGACCTAAAGTGTTACTGTATGGGGGCAAGGACTTCAAGATGGAGGGGCCCTACATGTTTGCCACCAAAACACAGGTTACTTATAAATTCAGTTTTCCAAAGTAGGTTTCTTTGATGTACAATTAGTCTAAGAGCATCACAGTGTATTGAACAAAGTTCTTCTATAGTCCATGTTAAAATGTTAGCAGAATTAAGCATTAAAAGACAGAAATTTTCTAAAATGCATGGTCATTTGTGTACATAAGCTTGTTTGATCGTGTATTTTTTCACACTGTATACTAAATAAATTCAAAGTTAACATGCATGTATTGGCTCTTTGCAGAGTTTGTTCGGGGCACGCCAGCCAGTAAAACAGCTCTGGGTATCGTACAAGAGAGGACGTTTTGCCAATGCAGAATTTTCTGAGAGACTTCCTAATTATGTAAGTCTAATCGTTGTTTGATTGGCTGTTTCATGTACTGGGTATTAATTCTGCAAAAAATTTTTTTTAAAAAGCCAACTACAATGATTAGTTTACATGGTATTGAAAAGAATATTTTAGAAGTATAATTTGTGTTCTATACACTTGAGAATTTTAGGGAATTTACAAGTAGAGGATAAAAATTATGTACATTGTACATATATGTTGACATGAATATTAAAATACTGGGCCTAGTGTAATTTTTAAATTAGCCAGTTACATACATTTCACATGTTCAAGTTATGATGGGAAGACATGAATGCCACAGTATTTCAGAATTTCATTTATAATAACGTTTGAAATGCAGAATAGATGATTGAATTAAAAAACATATATTTATATTTCTGGATATGATGTAGATTCATGTCTAAGGAATTTCTGTTATAGGATTTCTATGTCGCGGATGCCTCAGAAGAGCAGGTGTTTCTGGTGGTCACTCACAATGAGACCACTGGTCAATCCCACCTCTACATCTCGGACATCACGGGGGCCAAGTACTCTAAGACCCTGGACAACATTGTCTACTATAATCCGGAGGGGGCTCACAGGAACAGCTGGCTCAAGTCAGTATACACAAGAAAAACTACAAAATAAAATTCTGTAGTTATATTTAATCTGGCATTCTAAATGGGTACCAAATGGTTTGCTTTATACAGTATTACTGTATTCTTTGAATTCGCCCAATTTAAAATTTGCCCACCCAAGGTAAGGGCAAAAGGGACGAAAATAAAACAGGGGCAAAATTTTCCATGTATACTGTATATAATTATCTGGCCCAGTTTAAAAAAAAAGTTTTGAAGTTAGGTACCTGATAGAAGATTGAGACATGTCATAACTTTTTAGATTGATGTGTTTTAAAATTTATGCAATTATTGAAAAGATATTATATGAGCCTATAAATAACTTTTCCATGACTGGTTGCTTTTATGTATAAAAAAATTAAACATTTGTAGTTTTTTGAAATGCTCTTATGATAAAAAAATGATCAAAACATTTTTACAGATATTTTGCCAAAGAAGCGTTTGTGGATTTAACAAAGATCAAAGGTATGAAGGGTGTGTATATAGCTAATCAGCTGACTAAGAACGACAGCTTCCAGAAAGATGACCAGAGAAGCATGATAACGTTTGACAAGGGTGGACAGTGGTCACTCATCAACCCGCCTCCGTATGACATCAACGGCAATAAAACAAAGAACTGTACCAAATACAGTGTAAGTCTGCAGTCAGAAAATTAGATTGAATGTTAAACAGAGGGAGAAATGATAATAGTTAGCATTCAATGATTTTCATACTCATAAAGGGAAAAGTTATTTTACTTAAGATACATTGTAACAATACCTTTTTTATTGCAAGTGTTTGAAGGTTGGAAAGCTTTGAACATAAATTAGTTATTTGTAAGACTTAACTTGCATCAGCTCACTCACACATTCTTTGTTCGTGAGAGAGGTTTTCTCTGACTACCTGTAGTACACTGTAACTGATGGAAACATGACCAATTTCAGAAGGATAATTGTTCTTCACTGCATGTGACACAAGAGTTCAGTCGATTATATCCGGGGGCTAGGAATATTCCCATTTTATCCCGGGAATCAGCACCTGGCATCGTCCTGGCAACAGGGGTCATAGGGACAAGGTTAAAGAACCAACCTGATGTTTACGTGTCATCCAGTGCAGGATATCAGTGGAAACCAGTAAGTCATGTCAAAAAAGGGCTTCATCAATAATAGGGATAGTCTACATATATAAAAAGTTTTTAAAGCTCTAAAATTTTTCCACAATTAAATTTTATTCACTCTAAATTAAACAAAAGTGTATTGAAACCAACAAAGTTTTCAATACTCAAGTAATAAATTTAATGAGCTATTAACTCTTTCTTCAAAATCTTGACACAAAATAAAAATTAACTGTAGTTTGTTTTGTACATTTTTAGGTCACCTGAGTAAACTCAGGTGACCTATTGCTCTCTGTTTTCGTCTGTCGTCGTGCGTTAACATTTGAACATTTTCAGCTTCTTCTCTGCAACCACTGAACCAATTTCAACCAAATTTGGCATAAAGCATCTATGGGTGAAGGGGGAACAAAAATTTTGAATTTCATGATCCCTGCCCCCCTGGGGCCTGTTGGGTGGGGCCAAAACCACTAAAATTAGTGCAATCTTTAAAAATCTTCTTCTTTACTCCTAGACATCAAGCAGTCAAACTGTTTGCATGATTGTAATCAGCAATGAGTCCTCTACCAAAATTGTGAAATTCATGGCCCTGGGTTCAGGGGTTCTAGTGCTAGGGCGAGGCTAAATAAGTAGGTAGTGAAAATGCATTATTTCTTTGAAAATCTTCTTCTCTGCTCCTGGGTATTAAATAAACCAACTAAGCACATAGTTAAGCTGAGCAAGAGTGCCTCTACCAAAATTGTGAATTTTATGGCCTCAGGGTCAGGGGTTCAGGTGTTAGGGCAGGGCTCTATTGATTAAATAGTGAAAATACATGAATTCTTGAAAATCTTCTTCTCTGATCCTGGGTATTAATAAACCAACTAAGTACATAGTTAAGATGAGCAAGAGTGCCTCTACCAAAATTGTGAATTTTATGGCCCCAGGGTCAGGGGTTCAGGTGTTAGGGCAGGGCTCTATTGATTATATAGTGAAAATACATGAATTCTTTGAAAATCTTCTTCTCTGCTCCTGGGTATTAAATAAACTAACTAAGTACATAGTTATGATGAGCAAGAGTGCTTCTACCAAAATTGTGAATTTTATGGCCCCAGGGTCAGGGGTTCTGGTGTGAGGGCGGGGCTCTATTGATTATATAGTGAAAATACCTGAATTCTTTGAAAATCTTCTTCTCTGCTCCTAGGTATTAAATAAACTTACTAAGTGCATAGTTATGATGAGCAAGAGTGCCTCTACCAAAATTGTGAATTTTATAGCCCCAGGGTCAGGGGTTCTGCTGTTAGGGCAGGGCTCTATTGATTTTATAGTGAAAATACATGAATTCTTTGAAAATCATCTTTTCTGCTCCTGGGTATTAAATAAACTAACTAAGTGCATAGTTATGATGAGCAAGATTGCCTATACCAAAATTATGAATTTTATGGCCCCAGGGACAGGGGTTCTGGTGTTAGGGCAGGGCTCTATTGATTATATAGTGAAAATACCTGAATTCTTTGAAAATCTTCTCCTCTGCTCCTAGGAAATAAATAAACTAACTAAGTGCATAGTTATGATGAGCAAGAGTGCTTCTACCAAAATAATGAATTTTATGGCCCCAGGGTCAGGGGTTCTGGTGTTAGGGTGGGACCGTATTGATTATATAGTGAAAATACATGAATTCTTTGAAAATCTTCTCCTCTGCTCCTAGGAAATAAATAAACTAACTAAGTATATAGTTATGATGAGCAATAATGCCTCTTCCATAATTGTGAATTTTATAGCCCCAGGGTCAGGGGTTCTGCTGTTAGGGCGGGGCTCTATTGATTATATAGTGAAAATACATTAAATCTTTGAAAATTTTCTTCTCTGCTCCAGGGTATTAAGCAGATGAACTACCAATATAGTTATGATGGACAAGGGCCCATATCTTCCACAATTGTGAATTTCAAGGCCCCAGGGTCAGGGGTACCATAGAGGGGGGGGGGTTGTACTTATATACTGAAAATGAATGAATGGTTTGAAATCTGCTCCTTGGTATTAATCAAATATCAAGGCCTAAGGATCAGGGGTTCATGTATGGTAGGGGCACTACTGATTATTGCTGAATATTACTGATTAGTTGTAATGCATTTTGTGTTCCCTTACCCTGCGTATGGGTATTAAGTAAACAAACTAAGCAACTGCTAAGTGTATTGTTATGATGATCAATGGTGCCTCTTTCAAAATTGTGAATGCCATAGCATCTGGCTGAAAACATGAATCAAATTCAATCACTGGAAAGTTGTTGCATAATGTTCAGGTGACCTATAAGGCCCATGGGCCTCTTGTTTTATATGATGAGTTTTGATTACGAACTAGTTGAAATTTCTATAGGCACTGAAAGGGAATTACTTCTATGCTATGGGGGATCATGGTGGATTACTTGTAGCTGTTCCTCAGTTCCAGAACACCAGAGAATTACTGTAAGTTAGAGATCAAGGTTAAAAAGCAACAGTGAAAGAGTATTAATAAATCTAAATATAATAAAAATATTCCTTGTTTTGCAGTTATTCCCAGGATTGTTTATTTAAGATATTCCTGGTAGATATTTTTTGTATTTTATAAATATTCCTCACTTGTAGATATTCCTATGATGAGGGAGAGACCTGGAACACCTACACGTTCCACAATGAGACAATCCGAGTCTATGGTGTACTGACAGAACCAGGGGAGGCTACTGCTATCTTCTCTATTTTTGGATCTCACCTAGGGTTCCACAAATGGCTCATTATTCAAGTTGATATGGGGAAGGTCTTCAGTAAGTATAAATTCTATCAGAATAATCATGTGGAATTTTATTATTGTAAAACCTTTTGAAAATTACTTTATAATACATGAATCTTTACACATTGAAATATGAGTTCTATAGACTGTACTAGTATTTTACAGACCAGATATGACATGAATTTTACTTTTCTAGGATACACTTGTAAGAAGGATGACTACAAGATGTGGTCTTTTACCGATAACCCACCATTTGCTGGTTGTATCCTCGGAAAGAAGTTAGTCATTGAACGGCGTATAGCCCATGCTTACTGCTACAATGGAAGGGACTACGATAGAACTATTGTAGAGAAAAACTGTTCCTGTTCCAGAGAAGATTATGAATGGTATGCAAATATTTCAACCCAGAAAATTATCATAGATTCATCAAGGACTAAAACTTTTTACACAGAACTAAGGAAAAAAAATTATTTACTGGTAGTTAATTCTGTTTTCATTTTTTTCTTTAGATGTTTCATCACTAGGGGTTTTTAAATGTCAGACAAGTGTTTATTTTGTTTTTACAGTGCCTTTGGTTTCCACTTGGAAGAAAGCTTGTTTAATTTCAACCAGAAGTGTATAGAGGACAATGATCCAGACATTAACATACATAAACCTCCCAAGAACTGTCCCCCAGGGACATTTTATCCCTACTCCCGGGGCTACCAGAAGATCCCTGGGGACACGTGTCAGTACGGAGAGGATTACAGATACGACCCCCTCATGTATTCCTGTCCTGTAGCAGGTGAGACTACCAATATGACTGGCTCATGTAACAAACAATTTCGCTACTCAACAACTAACAAACAATAATACTGTCCATGCAGTGACAGGTGGTAAAACAATCCTTATAAAATATAAATCATATTTATCTCAGATAACACAAATGTCAAAATTTGTGTCCATAATCAACCATCAATTTTTGATCATATAAAAAACTTAAGCATCCCTTGATCAAAATGTATGCATTCAGTTGATATACATATATGGCATATATTGGAGTTTTGGTGCAATAAATTATAACAAGGAATTATCTTTTTTTTTAATAGAGGTGCCTGAATTTCTGATTTATGTATCGAGTCGTAGCGTGTCTCGAGTTATGCTGGGGGATAACAGACAGGAAGTTATTTACATGGCCACCGGCATCAACAATGTCCTCGCAGCTGAGTTTGATCTCCATAGCAACTGCATGTTTGTCAGTCTTACTGAAGAAATACAGGTAAAACAAACATGTATTTGTCCTTTTGTCTGTAAAATCTTATATTTATACACGTATATGTAATTGTATTGGTTGTTTAAAATACATTTATTTATAATCTATTGGTCTCTATATACATATATCAGTGATATTATTAAAAGAATTAATGATTATGCCTGATAAACTGAAATAAATTGTATGTTACACAGAAAGTTTGTTTTGGAGAAAACACAACGAACACAGCGACAGCTATGCCGGTCATCAGTAAGAACCTTGGGAATGTGGAGGCATTGGCATTTGATTGGACTAGTAAGAATCTGTACTGGATTGATTCGGCGAAACGTAAAATAGAGGTGGCTCGAGAGGACGGCAGGTACAGGAAGGAGCTGTTTAACTCGACCTACCTAGACAGACCCAGGGCAATGGTTCTGGATCCAAGATTTGGGTACTAAACAATACTATTATCTTACGATGTATCTGAAAATTAAAAATTAAAATAAATTCTAATGCTGTTTTTAAAAATTTAGACAGTTTAAGAAAACTTTTTTCTTGTAATGTGGAAAAACAAAAATATTCTCTGTTGAACAGAAAGTCTTGAATTACAGATTTGTTTTTGCTTTTAGTTTTTGTTGATTTCAAGTTTACTGAATGTCTCCTTCAGTTTCTTCCATGCAATGTAGTTACACTGTATGTCATCATGTGCACTTTTTTCAAATGTCGTTTAATTTTTAGATACATGTACTGGACTGACTGGTCAGCTACAAACCCCAGAATTGTCCGAGCTTGGATGGACGGTACGCACAACCAAACCATTGTCACCCGTCCGAATGTCCACTGGCCAAATGGTATAACCATTGACTACCGCTCAGACAAGATATTCTGGACCGACGCCTACAGGCACGGTGTTTACTATGCAGATTCTGACGGGAGAAATCCACACACAGTGAAGTCTGGATATTACTACACGCCACACCCATATAGCATTGGAGTCTTCAAGGTAGGCTATCTGTGGTTTCAGGCTTGAAATAAAAGACTGCATATTATATTGATTAATGTTAATGATGTTGAAAATATATCCTTTTTTTTTTTTTACATTAACTTAAAGATATTTCATATTATCATATTTATTCTTTGATTAGTCACTATATTATAACAATACCTTTTCTTATATTTAGAATAATATATACTGGGCTGATTGGACAAAGAAAGCTGTGCTGACCACAAACAAAAACAATGGGTTGGGATTTAACCCAATAATAATCAGCAAAAGTAATCGTGTGAGGGACCTAAAGGTCTACTCAAGCACATCTCAAAGCTGTAAGATATACTAATATTTCTTTTACTACTTAACCTTTTGGAAAATAACTGTTCCAGAAATAACAATGACTTATTTAAAAAAAACAACAACAATAGTAGACTTATGTGTCTCACAGAACAAGGTAACTTTTCCACCTTCTTTGAATTTTAATTTGTATTTACTTAAATATAAGTGTTTTGTTGTAGAAACCAAAATTGTCTTAGCCATGAAAAAATGAAAATTGCAAAAAGCTGGAATGACCTTGACCCCCAGAAAATAGACAAGGTGTGAAGGTGTCCAATGCAGTTTACCGTACCTGTTTTCTAGTTATAAGGTTTAATAGTAAGTACAAAGAAGTTACCGCCTCCAATCCTCATATAAAGGGAACATCCTTTTGCACTTATACTGTGGCCTAAAGTAAGATATCAATGAAGTGTTAACGGTCTACAGTCTGAAGCCCTCGATAACAAGGTCGCACAAGGTAACTTTTTGATCAATTTATGGTTAAATAAAATCTTAGAAAGATTTGTATTATTTGTTGTTATTGTTGAGGCAAAAGAGATATAAAAAATGATTTTTATAAATTCAACCTTTACAGTATTTAAGTAGGTTAAGTAATCTTATGCAGTTGATATCTAACTTGTTCTGCTAATTACTGTAAAACAAATTATTTCAGTGTCTAACTGTTCACACTCGCACTTTACCAATGAATGGTGATGAAGGTCCTCGTCAAGTACCTGACTCTGTAACCGTGACGATGACTGCGGTTGATGGATCAGTACCAATAACAAGCACTGCTTCGTATGTAGAAAACTTTTAAACGTTTAATGGGGGACATAGAATGATAATCTTCTAAAAGTTTTGAGGGCATTTAATGTTGCAAAGACTTTCAGTATATGTTGAAAATCAGGAGTGATAGAGATATAAAAAGATATTAATTTCTCATTTTTGGAATCGGTGCATGTATTTAGCATAAATGTTGACAAAGGTCTATTGAATTCTTTTCTTGGTGAAGCTTACTTGGAGTTTTAAAAACTTCAGGTAATTTAAAATGTAAAAAGGGAGGGCAAAATCCTCGAGCGCTGGCGGTGTGACCATGACAATGACTGTGAGGACAAGTAGCGAGACATTAATAAAGGTGTGGTAATCTTGGTTTCTCGGAGGAGTAGCGATAACAGCATTGATGTGATGTAAATGGGGCAATATTGTACAAGCATCTCATATACGCAAGAGTATGCGTTTTACGAAGTACATTCTTATGCCTATAAATCTTCTTGATAAATCTTGACAATTCACATTCATTTTGTTTTACTACCAACCCATCTTGTAACATGGCATTGAAATTACCGTTTACATGTGACAATAGTTGTGTCTTGTGACAAGGTAAGTACTGATCAAGTTTATGTGTGACTTAAATATTGTTTTTTGTAGCGTACCCGACCTGTAGCCATGGTAAGAGCCTGCACACAGTTTACGTGCCCCGCCCCCAGTTCAATGAGACAGGTGTGAATCCCCCTGTTAACTGGACGTGTGACCATGACGATGATTGCCATGACAACAGTGATGAAATAAACTGTAAATACAATGGTGACTTATTTGATCAATTTATGGTTATAGCTTCCAATTTTCTATTTTTATAGAATTAATATATTATAAATCATATGCACTATTTTTGTCCCATATCAAATTTTAATTACTGTAAACAAATTATTTCAGTTCTCTGTTCACATCGCACTTTACCTGTGATAATGGTCGATGTATGTCTTCTGGTCTGTGACCGTGACGATGACTGCCATGATGGATCAGACGAATTCGACTGTCGTATGTAGAAAACTTTTACGTTTAATGGTCGACATATAAAAATATATTTTCTAAAATTTGACAGTTTTGAACAGTTAGTATTTTCATATAATGGTCAAATCAGGAGTGATAGGATATGGTACAAAAGTAATTTTTTAGCTGAATCTTTCTAAATTCTTTTCTTTGAAGCTTACTTGGAGTGTACTGTAGGTAATTTCCAATGTAAAAAGGGAGGGAACAGTTTCACTGTGCCATGGCGGTGTGACCATGACAACGACTGTGAGGACGGATGTGTGTAATGAACTGTGGTAAGTCTTGGTTTCTCTGATTAAGAGCATCGTCAGAATTGATGTGATGTAAATGTAGCAATATTGTACAGTGCATCTCATAATAACACCAAGAGTATGCAGTTTTCATGTGCAATCTTTTCTTTACTGCCTACCTGGGTGTGTCTTGTAATTCGGACAATTCACATTCATTTTGTTTTACTACCAAGTCATCTTGTAACATGGCATTGAAATTACCTTTACATGTGACAAAGTCTTTACGTGTCTTGTGACAAAAAGAAATGGGACATTTCTGAAGTTTGTTTAAAAAATTGCACCCTTATCTGTTTAACCCCTTCCATGGCAAAAATTTTAAGCATTTTAAGACAAATTAACATTAAAATTTCAATACATTTTTTAGACTTCTTGCAATTTTTGTATATACCATTGTATATATATTCTTGAAAGCAGGTATTGTGTAGTTTCTGAAAATGATTATACAGATACCATATCAGTTGCCATGGCAACGAAATACACGATAATCATGCTAGAATTTGCATTTATTTAAGAATGAGTATTATTCTACTTAATTTGCTTCGTAAATATATTAAAAAATATTTTATTGTTGTGGTGAAAATTATGAGTATGTTGTACATTTTTTACAAACCAATTTTTAAGTATGTTGTTGGACGGGATGGGGTTAGGTTGGGAGGTAATCACCAGAATTTAGCATTTTTACTTATAACGTGTTACCCACGTGTTGATTTCGATAATGGCAAAATCGTACTCAAATAGTGCGCAAAGTTTAACTCAAGCTAGAAAAAAAACTGATACAACCAGTTAAAAAAACTCTGTATATTATTTTATCGTAATTATTTTCTCTTTCCAACGTTGCAAAGGTTATTCTGATATTTGCAGTATTAATGAGTTTATAAATGTTTTTTAACACTATTCTCATTTTTCAAGTCAGATGCGTAGAAATGCGTATATGCCATGTAAAGGGTTAATTGGAAACAAAAGAGAAGCGATTCAGGAAAAAAAATTATTCTATCAGAAAGTTAAAATGATATTCATAAATCTTTAAGAATACCATCATGAAAATAAATGAAGTGTTTTCTGGAAAAGGTCCCTCACTAAATGAGCAGTCACAGTGATACTTGGAAGTTAACTTGAAGATTTAATAACAGCTTCATGTGTTAGTTGTCAGAAAAGAGGTATACGATTATGTTTGGTTATGAAGTAATGACACACATAAGCAATAGTTGCCGTCCTGTGTAGATTTCTAGTATCTTACTTCAAGGATTCTTTCCCCAACAGCTTGTTTCCACATTCAACACATTTTACAGATAAACTTTGTATTCAAATACATCTTGAATTTATCTTTGTATTTGTTCAAATCGATCAATGTCTAGTGATTAAATTTCAGACTCCACTACACCTTCTATAACCACCGGTGAGAAATATGCACAATGTCAATTATAGTAGTGTTCGTATATGTACGTGTACGTCCAAAGGGCTTAGGGCTTATATTTATTATAATTGTAAACTGTCCATATTATAACCTAATGTCCACAGAGGTTTGGGCTACTTACAGACCCATATACTGTATGTGTACTTAAAAATAGTGGGCTTCATATTTTAGAGGCTTTGGCGCAGACAATGCTGTGCTAATTCATGAATACCACTAAAGAATTCATTTATAAATACATGTAGAATATAAGGCACGAACATGTGTAGTGCTAATTCATGATTACGTCAACAACTCCATATCCATTGATTGTGCTAAATTTTGAATTTGCCAAATTATGTACACATACAGTAGTATATTTAAAGTTTGGATTTCATAGAAGCATATCATTTGTAAGAAAAGTAATAGGAATCGGTCTGCTTATTGTGTACTCGGAAATTATCAACATTTTTTAATAAGATACCTAATATATACTTTATAATTTATACAGATAAAAAAAAAATTGCAAAGGTAACACTGTTATAAGAATAACAAAGATTTAGGTGAAATCTTGCTTTTCCATGAACAATGTTTATATAAATCAATATGCAGATATGGGTACATTATACTCTCATTTTACACATCACTGCATAGCAGATGGTTAACCCATGTAAAAGATTAGTGTCTTTCTTTGTAGCTACCAGAAGTGCAAGCTCAGTGACACTTAATGTTATTTGTTTTACTCTGATAATTGTAGCCCAGTGTTTTATAAGTTTTGTGAACAGTATCACCAGTATGTCTGTCTGTAGGTCAGTATCTTATAAGTGACTATTGTTTACTCCTTACAGCCCAAGCCCCTACAACTACTACTTATTTCTGTGAGCGACACTGTACAGACAGGCGTGTGTGTTACGATTACAGACAAGGTGTGACGGAATAGAGGACTGCTGGATGGATCAGCAATGAAATATACTGTGTCGTAAGTTTATCTGTGTAATTATATGCTCCTGTTTTAATGAGCTCCTTAATCTGGATTAAAATTATTCATTTTCACATTTCTAGATCAGTTATAACCAAATCGAACACTAGTGGGTAAACATTAATTAATATACATGTGCATCACATGTAATTGAGTAAACATTTGAACATTTGGATCTGGTAAACAATAAAGTGTAGATGTACCTGTGTATTCAAATCTTTTAAATTTTAGACCCCAATGTAAAGTACATTCAAATCAGAATTAGGCCATGAAAAAGGATCTGTTTTATATTCAATTTTCAGTAAGAAAGTGACTTCGAGTGAGCTCTGTTTGCCATGACCAACCTCCTTTTGTAACTCTTTATTTGTTATTGTCCTGTAATGAATTTCATAACATTGAAAAGTACCCTCAAGAATAAGGGGGAATTTTACTTGAAATAAAAATCAATATGTATAGTAATAGCACATGTTTTCTGTGTAGGAACATCATCTCCTACTCCATTTCCTACAACTAGTGCCCCTGGCTGTAGTGAGAACCAGTTTTACTGCTACAGAGGTCACTCTATTTACCGGATGTGAATCTGACCTACAACCTGGGTTTGTGACAATGCTACTGACTGTGAGAACGGGGAGGTTTCATTTCCAGTGAATGTATAAGGTAGGCTAAACTTGCAAAGAAAATACAACTTAACATTGTGTTGTCATTCACATGTCATTTTGTGGGGGTTAATTTTCATATGTTTTCCGAGTATGAGGGAACAAATTTATGACCACCACGAATTGCAAAATTTCATTTGCATCAAGTAAACATTTTAAGCCCTATGTTCAAACCACACTTGCATGGATGATACCCCAAAGGATGAAAAATTACCGGGCTTGCTTTTGATGCTAATCTGCGCTACATTGTCAGCTCGACATGAACAGGTTTAAATATATTTTAAAGTCACTTTAAGCGTCATTATAAGTGTCTTCACTGTTAGTGTATTTTACTGTATTATACACCATTTGATATTCAGTATAACACTGCATAATTCCACTAATCATCTTTCAGCTGAAAGAGCATTGTCCTGTCAGTGACTTTAAGTGTTTGTACAGTGATGGCTGTGTTTCATTTCAAAGGTGTGTGATGGCTTCCCTATGTTGATCAAACTTGCATGGATGATACATCTAAGGATGCATACCACCACTTGCTTCAAGATACACAATCTGAGTACATTTGTCCTTTAAGATTTTTTTTTTTTTTAATGTTTTTGGTGCAGGTTTAAAAACTTTTCACAAAAAGAAACTTTAGAGCCCTATGAATGAGAGAGAGAGAGAGAGAGAGAGAAAGAACTGCAGAGGCAGAGAGAGGATGCACACTACCAGAGACAGAAGGACAGAGAAGAGAGAGAGAGATGGTTAAGAGAATACATCAGTCAATGGCCTCCAGCTTTCAGTCAAAAGTTCTTTGGTCAGGTTATTTTCCAAGGATATATATTTTTTAATCATACATTGTCTTAATAGAGGATATCAACACCTAAGGAGATGTTTCAGGCTTGCTTCGGAAGCAGAATCAGACCTATTAATTTTGTGGATGAGTGAAAATGTTAGTTTTAATGCATGTTTCATTTAAATAAACCATGAGTTTGGTGTTTTTGAGCAAATTTGAATGGAATGATACATCTAAGGATGCACACTAAGTGGAATTGCTTCGGATGCTGAGATTGGACATACATTTTTCAGATAATAGATTTCATATAAAAGTGATGGTTGCAGGTCTATTACCAAAAACTATTAGGATTATATAACATTGTATAATCCAAACTTTCACAAATGCTGCATCAAGAGATGAAAACTCCAAATTATTTTCAGATGTGATTTTCATTACATTTTCATAAGAAGAAGTAGTTTAAATTTTTTATAATGTCTATTTCAAAGTATGTCATTAATCATAAATTGCTTTTAAAAATATTTTCATTTTTGGAAGAATGGCTTTTAATTTGGTTAATTTTTTGTGTGACTTTGCCTTACTTAAAGAAACAGTTTCGTTGTCATTTTGTAATGATTGATTACCTATGTTTAAGTTTTGTGAACAGTATCACCAGTATTTTTTGTCTGTAGGTCAGTTTTTTATAAGTGACCATTGTTTACTCCTTACAGCCCCAGCCTACAACTACTACCTTATTTCATTGTGACGACATGTACAGACAGGCGTGGATGTTACGATTACAGTCAGAGGTGTGACGGAATATTGGATTTGGATGGATCAGATGAAAATATTCTGCCCTCGTAAGTTTATCTATTTAATTATATGCTCCTGTTATAATGAGCTCTTTAATCTGGATTAAAATTATCCATTTTCACATTTCTTGATCAGTTATAACCAAATGCAACACTAGTGGCTAAACATAAAATATACATGTGCATCACATGTAATTGAGTAAACATTTGAACATTTGGATGTGGTAAACAATAAAGTGTAGATGTACCTATGTATTCAAATCTTTTAATTTTTTAGACCCCAATGTAAAGTACATTTAAATCAGAAATAGGCCATGAAAAAGAATCTTTTTTTACATTAAATTTTCAGTAATTAAAGTGACTGCGAGGAACTCTGTTTGCCATGGCCAACATCCTTTTGTCTCTTTATTTGTTATTGTCAACAATAAGCTGAATTTCATAACATACGAAAAGTACCCCCAAGAAAGGGGGTTTTACTTGAAATAAAAGTCAATATGTATAGTAATGACACGTGTTTTCTGTGTAGGAATATCAACTACTCCATTTCAAAACAACTAGTGCCCCTGGCTGTGTGAGAACCAGTTTTACTGCTACAGAGGTCACTCTATTTACCCCATTTGTATCCCAAAGACCTGGGTGTGTGACAATGCTACTGACTGTGAGAACGGGGAGGATGAAGATGCCAGTGAATGTAAAGGTAGCCTTTTTAAAGAAAATACAACTTAACATTAGGTTGTCATTCAGATGTCATTATGCATTCTGTGGGTACAGTGAAACTAATTTTTGTGGGGGTTAGTTTTTATCGTTTTTGAGCTGTGGAGAGACCCACAAATTTATGACCACCACGAATTGCAAAATTTCATTTGCATCATGACTAAACATTTTTAAATAACGAAATCAAACCCACACAAAGCTTATATTTTTCCCCCAAAATTAATTTTTTGCATGTCGTTTTGATCAGATAATCCGCCCATTGTCAGCTAAACAATGATACAACAAGTTTACAATATATTTTAAAGTCACTGCTTTAAATTCATCAAACAAATTTTTCTTCTAAGGGTCATTATAAGTGTCCCTTCAATATTAGTGTATTTTACTGTATTATACACCATTTGATATTCAGTATAACACTTGGGATAATTCCACTAATAATCTTTCAGCTAAAGAGCATTGTCCTGTCACTGACTTTAAGTGTTTGTACAATGCTGGCTGTGTGCCCCAGTCTAAGGTGTGTGATGGCTTCTCTGACTGCCTGGATAAATCAGATGAGATGGGATGTGACATGACGTCTACTTAACTTAAAGGTAGACAAGTATACAAACTATTACTTTATGTCCTTTAAGATTTTTTTTTTTTTTTTTTAATAATTTATTGCTTTTTGTAATTTTTTTGACAATTTGGAAAACATTGAGAGAGAGAGAGAGAGAGACTTGTTTGGAGAGATCTTTCAAAGAGAGGGAGAGAGAAGAATCTGAGAGAGATTTAACTGCAGAGGCAGAGAGAGAGAGAAGGACAGAAACAGAGAAAAGGACAGAAACAGAGAGAGAAGGACAGAGAAAGCGAGAGAGATGGTTAAGAGAATAAGTCAGTCAATGGCCTCCAGCTTTCATCAAAAGATTCTTTTTCATTATTTTTATAAGATATATATTTTTTAAAAATTCATACATTTCTTAATAGAATTGCTAAAGGATGAGGGATTTCTGTATAAAAGATCAAGACAAGAGTCAAAAGCTTTTTCAAAGTCCACCAGGAGCAAAAGTCCTGGTATATTTTCTTCTTCTGTAAATTGCATGATCATACCCATCTAAGGAGATGTTTCTGTTTGTACATTTGTACAGATAGATATAATGTTAATATTTAAGGCAATAATATTTTTAAGCTTATCAGTTTTATTCACAGAGCCTAATAAAAATTCTTTTTTTGAAAAAAGTTATAGTAGTGTTAATTTTATTGAAACATAGTTTGAAAATACTAAAAGAGACTCAACATAATTTCACATTACCACAAAAATGTTATGTTGTTTCAGTTTCTATTTTAAAGAAGGTACATGTTTTATTATCAGTTTTATTAATTTTGTGCAGGAAGGAATTTGTATATATTTTAAAGTGCATTCCTAAATTGAAACCACTGAAGTTTGGTGTTTTTTGTAATTTTGAATGGAAGTAAATAAATTATCTAGCATTCACCATTGCTCAAATCAAATATTCGATTCCAAGAGATTTTACCCAACGGTTCAATTTTTTGTCGAATTAGTATTTCATATAAATCATGTGATTTTTTGGCATTCAGGAGCGAATAAATATTATCTGGGATATATGGGTAAGCTATTTTTGATAAGTTATTTTGATCTCTGTTTATCTTTCTCAGCCATTCTAATATTGATGCCTTAATGCCACTATATTCAGGAAAATGTGTTTTTATGACATATTTGATATGTAGGTCATTCAAACTCAAAAATGTCCCATCTTCATTGAGTTGTCATTAATACATAAAATGTTATGAGAAAACCATCTTTTATAGAAGAATGGCTTTTTATTAATGGTTAATTTTTTGTTATGGAATAATGGTTCATAAAGAAGTAAGTTTCAAATTGTCATTTTGTAATGATTTTTCACAAAAGCTTAGCCATGCCTGTAACACGTCCTTCCAAAAATTATTTTTTAATTTATTCATTTTTTTGACAACATACTCTTGCCCACAACATGCAGTTTTTTTAATGTCAATATCTAAAAAGGAATCTAACTTGTAAGTAATGGTGTTAAAAGTAGAATATAATCCATTGTCCTGCAGTAACCATTTTTTCATCCAAACTAGTTTTAAGGACATAATGAACTCTCTTAGTATATCATCTTGAGGCCCCCTGCTTTATAATTCATTACACAAATTTTTCTTTTTAGTCTTGAATGAAATATTACTTCCCATTACATATGTATAAAATAGATTTTCAAATTCTTTCATTTGAATTTCAGAGGGACTTTATGCAAAAACATGATTTAATGTTGGCAATAAAAGAGTTTTTAGAACCGTATTAAAAGACGAACAAGAGGAGTTAAATTTCTCTTGTTCCAGTGTTGTATTGATTTTTTATGTTACTTATTTTTGATGCATAATTAAGCATAAATACATTTTTTAGATCTGTGTCAAAGTCAATGCCTAATAATTTAAAAGTTACTTTTCCCCACTCTAACATATGATCTGTACTTAGCATATCATTGCTATCATTTATCATTTATCTTTTTTAGCTCACCCAATCCAGACTACCTGAGTTTTACTGTTATTCATATGCAAGCCGGACATATTCGCAAATCTTTTAAGAGTAGTGAGACTTGTTTGAAGTAATCTTTCACTTCCATCTTATACTAAAGAAGTATCATCTGCCAACATACTTAACTTTTTTTCAGTATTTATAAACGGAATCCCCTTTATACCCTTATTGTTTCTGATGCTGATTGCAAGGATTTCTGCTCAAATGAGAAATAGATATGGAGACAAATGGTCTCCTTGACGGCAGCCTCTGTGTAGGTTAAAAGATTTCGACAAATTTCCTCCTTGATTAATGGAAGCTGTAATATTTGTGTAAAAAAATATCAACCCATTTTCTAATAGAATTGCTAAAATTAAAAAAATTTAAGGGATTTCTATATAAAAGACCAAGACAAGGAGTCAAAAGTTTTTTCAAAGTCCACCAGGAGCAAAAGTCCTGGTATATTTTTTCTTCTGTAAATTGCATATCATATGTAAGACTAGTCTTATATTTTCAGAAATATTTCTTGCATACTACCAGGCTTGCTTCGGATACTGAATCCTTGTATGAAACCAGTTTGATCTTGATGAATAATTTTACCAAGATATTTTTTCATTCTATTAACAATTGAGCCTGATGCAATTTTATAAACAGTATTAAGAAGCGAAATAGGTCTCCAGTTTTTTAAATATTGTCTCGGTTTATCACCTTTTGGTATACAGGTTATTATACCATGTCTTTGAGTAGTACTTAAAGTCTTATTCTCATAGGCATAATTAATGGACCTTACTACAAAAATACCAATGGACTTCCAAAATACCTTAAAAAACTCTGATATAAAGCCATCCGAACCTTTAAGATTTGGATACATGTATATATTTCACAAAGTAGCATTCCTCTCTTTTCAACATGAAAATTTCATCATCTTTCAAATGAAGAAGAAACCCTGCCTTGTATATAGACATACACTATTCTCTGTGTCTGTTTCAGCTCCAGAACTCTGTTCTCAGCTTAGAGATGAGAATTACGAGAAATTCCGTCAGAACTACTACGTGTGTAACTCCCAGGGAGTGGAGACTTGTGGACTCTGGTTGAGAGTGTGTGATTGGACAAACCCCTGTTATCTCTACAACAACCTGATTGTTACACTCTGTAGACAAAGAAGTACAGTATCAACTCAGTTTTTATTTAATCTAAAAAATCTTTCTAATATTTCCTATAAAATTGTTATCTCTTCATGTGAGATAGATGATAAAAGAATTTGTTTTTTTTTTCCTGTTGCATAAAGATACTTGAATTTGTAAAAATAAATTGGTTGTTAATATAAAAAGTCAAGTTGTCATGCATATTTTGATTCAGTTAACAGAAGATGCTGTGAGGTGAATTATGAACTGTTGTTTTTTATTTTAGTAAATGTGACACACTTGGAGGCCATTCCTGACACAGAGGGTAACATTCTTGTCACCTGGCAACCGCCTGAAAATCTAGCCAATCAGAAGATCTAGATATAAAGTCTCTTACTTGTAAGTAATAGGGTTAAAAGTAAAATATAATCCATAAGTCAAACAGAAAAACAAAAACATCGTGTAAGTATATATTGTCCACCCTTTTATACTTTCCCCCTCTATTGAAAGGATATGTAGCCTTATTAATTAACGATAATCATAACACTTTATAATAACATTTATCATAAGGGGCGAAAATAAAATTTGGTTGAAAATTTCCCTGTACACAGTATATATGTAACATTCATATGCTTGTTTTGATTGATTTCCTATGCAGAGTGTTTAGGTAAACAAGTACATAAAATTTTTACAGAGAAAAGGAGAATGAGAAGACTTGGCAAAATATTACAGAAAACCTTAGCAGACATAATTACACCATTAAAAATGTGCGATCTTTGACCCCATATGTGATCACAGTGTATGTCATCACGCCTGACAACCGGACTCATTTCCCTGTAGAGCCCATTACTGTGACAACCTTGCAGGAAGGTAAGTCAGGGCATGTTTTTTATTGTTATACAGTAAGATATAAGTCAAAATTAATTCTGCATTTTATTTATCTTCAAGAATGACTTGGCATGTTTATGAAGGAATTTACCTATTTTTTTCAATTGTAGTACCTAAAGTACCAGGGGCTTTCAGTGTGAATTATGCCTCAAATAATATGACGGTCCAGTTAACATGGACAGCCCCACCTGGATCGCGCCCAGGGGAGATAAGGAGTTACAAAGTAAGCTCCAGCTGATTGTTAAAACCCAAGATAAAAGCTCACATTGCAGAAGACTATAGAGGAAATTTTACAGAAATGTTTATTAACATCACTGGGAAATGAAGTTGGTTAATCACATGATCAAATCCTGTGAAGTATGAAGAGCTTTTCAGATTTGATTGACATTTGTATACCAACTGAATTTATTTCTTAAAGAATTTTTTAAACTCTTTACTTTAATATTATACATATATCAGCATTTAAGACCCATTTGTATGGTATTTAGAAAATATTGCACATCTAGTTGCCCATTGTAGATTATGACAAAATGGGACATGACATTTTGATTTAAAAAAAAATTAGAAATGAAGCCATAAAGTTTATCCTTACCAGTACATGTAGTTTTAAAGGCCAAAAATTCCATAATTCACTGCAAAATTTTGGTCTTTTTTTTATACCCCCCGCAAACGAAGTTTGGGGGGGGGGGTATATAGGAATCACCTTGTCTGTCTGTCCGTCTGTCTGTCTGTCTAGCTGTCCGTCTGTCAGAGCAAACATGTCCAGTCCATATCTTTCTTACGGAGGGACATTAGAATCTACTACTCCACACAAAGATTGCCCATGACCTAAGGGTGTGTCATGACCTTGACCCAAGGTCATTTGGGGAACTTCAAGGTCACTGGAAGAAAAATTTCATAATTCATGTCCGGTCCATATCTTTCTTATGGATAAACTTGGTAAGTTCTCATTTCACACAAAGATTGCCCATGACCCAAGGGTGTCATGACCTTGACCCAAGGTCATTTGGGGAACTTCAAGGTCACTGGAAGAAAAATTTCATAATTCGTGTCCGGTCCACATCTTTTTTATGGATAAACTTGGTAGGTTCTCATTTCATGCAAAGATTACCCATGACCCAAGGGTGTGTCATGACCTTGACCCAAGGTCATTTGGGGAACTTCAAGGTCACTGGAAGTAAAATTTCATAATTCATGTCCAGTCCATATCTTTCTTATGGATAAAATTGGTAGGTTCTCATTTCACACAAAGATTGCCCATGACCTAAGGGTGTGTCATGACTTTGACCCAAGGTCATTTGGGGAACTTCAAGGTCACTGGAAGAAAAAATTCTTAATTTGTGTCCAGTCCATGTCTTTCTTATGGACAAATTTGGTAGGTTCTCATTTCACACAAAGATTGCCCATGACCTTAAGGTGTGTCATGACCTTGACCCAAGGTCATTTGGAGAAGTTCAAGGACACTGGAAGTGAAATACATAATTTGTGTCCGGTCCATATCTTTCTTATGGATAAACTTTGTAGGTTCTCATTCCACACAAAGATTGCCCATGACCCATGGGTTTGTCATGAGCTTGACCCAAGGTCATTTGGGGAAGTTCAAGGTCACTGGAAGAAAAATTTCATAATTCGTGTCCGGTCCATATCTTTCTTATGGATAAACTTGGTAAGTTCTCATTTCACACAAAGATTGCCCATGACCCAAGGGTGTGTCATGACCTTGACCCAAGGTCATTTGGGGAACTCTAAGGTCACTGGAAGAAAAATTCATAATTCATGTGTGATACATACCTTTATTATGGAAAAACTTACTTCTGAAAAACCCAGCGGGGGGTATTTTGTCCCGTTTGGACAGTTCTAGTTTCTTTTTAAAGCATGTTTTTTATTCTCTATGGACAAGAAAATGATATCAACTGATTCTTACATGTACCTGTTCTGTACTCTTATGATAAGCATAATAATTATAATATCAAAATTATTAATAATGTCATTTTTCCAAACAATGAAAAAAGATTAATAAGAATGTATCTTTTACAAAAAGCAATATATAAAACACATAAAAGGATATCTCTATTAGCTATATATGAAAGGGGCATAACTCAATTTTGTTCATCCTCGAAAAAAATTAGAATTGTGTGATTTCCCTTTTTGATATGTTAATAAAGTTGATCAATGTGACAGTGTTTGACCTGATAAGACAGTTCCTAAGAAACTTTCTTATTAATTTTTATAACCTTAAAGCTTCATTTCCAAATTCGTGTGTAGCTTGATTTGAAATGCTGTTATATATACATGAAGTGTGCATGTATGATATTTGATATTTAATACATGTAGTAACAAAGACACTCTGTATATGTATGATTTTGTTTGTAGATATACTGGAAATCTGCAGAAAAGAACGTTACTTCCTTTACAACTGTTCCTGGAAAGACAGAATCTTTCTTATTTGACAGTGGAAGGCTAACCTACAATAAGAAATATCAGTTTTGGGTAAGGTAGTTTTAGATCTACTGAGAGAGACCAGAATAATTTATGAATTGGAGAGGGGTCCAATGTCGGCTTGTTCACCTGTTTGTGAACTTAATTTAAAATGCTACACCTATTTCATTTACATGTATAATAGGATTCTGATTAAACTTGGTACACAAGCAGACTACTTATTCAATTCAGTTTTATCATTGTTACAAATTAAAAAATAGAAACATCCATGAAATTCTTGCAATATACTGCTTTTTGTCATTTTTAATTTTTTTTTCCAAAACAAATTGGTACACAAATATACTATGAAAGCAAACTGGACAATTCTCAATTTTCAAATCCTTATAAACAATTACATCACATATTTTCATCTTCCTCTGTTCTTAGTTAACATCATGTAAGTCAAAGAGAATTTTTTTTAACTTTTTATCCTTTACACCACCAAGAATTCCTGAGAACACATTCCATCCATAAATACAATACTGCACTCCATCAGAGCCAGTGCTGAATCACTGGAAGATACTTGTATCATTCACTGTGTTGTTATCCTGCCTTCACATTATTTCTCCAGTTCTTCCAAAAATGCTTTTGATATCCATTCTTAAAAAATGTAAAATTCCAGGTACAGAAGGTTATAATTTACATGTATTCTTCATGCCATATTGTTGTTTTTAGCTCACCTGAGCCGAAGGCTCAAGTGAGCTTTTCTGATCACATTTTGTCCGTCGTCTGTCCGTCCGTCTGTAAACTTTTCACATTTTCGACGTCTTCTCAAGAACCACTGGGCCAATTTTGACCAAACTTGGTACAAAGCATCCTTGGGTAAAGGGGTTTTAAATTGTTAAAATTAAGGGACATATCCCCTCGCAAGGGGAGATAATCAAGAAAAGACAAAAATAGGGTTGGGTCATTAAAAAATCTTCTTCTCAAGAACCACTGGGCCAATAAAACTGAAACTTATGTGGAAGCATCCTGGGGTAGTGTAGATTCTAAATTGTTCAAATCATGACCCCCAGGGGTAGGGCGGGGCCACAATGGGGAATCAATGTTTTACATAGAAATATATAGGAAAAATCTTTTAAAATCTTCTTCTCAAGAACCACTGGGCTAGAAAAGCTGAAACTTATGTGGAAGCATGCTGGGGTAGTGTAGATTCTAAATTGTTCAAATCATGACCCCCGGGGGTTGGGCGGGGCCACAATGGGGAATCAAAGTTTTACATAGAAATATAAAGGAAAAATCTTTGAAAATCTTCTTCTCAAGAACCACTGGGCCAGAAAAACTGAAACTTATGTGGAAGCATCCTAGGATAGTGTAGATTCTAAATTGTGCAAATCATGACCCCCCGGGGGTTGGGCGGGGCCACATTCGGGAATCAAAGTTTTACATAGAAATATATAGGAAAAATCTTCTTCTCAAGAACCACTGGGCCAGTAAAGCTGAAACTTATGTTGAAGCATCCTGGGGTAGTTTAGATTCTAAATTATACAAATCATGACCCCCGGGGGTAGGGCGGGGCCACAATGGGGAATCAATGTTTTACATAGAAATATATAGGAAAAATCTTTGAAAATCTTATTCTCAAGAACCACTGAGCCAGAAAAGCTGAAACTTATGTGGAAGCATGCTGTTTTAGTGTAGATTCTAAATTTTTCAAATCATGACCCCCAGGGGTTGGGCGGGGCCACAATAGGGAATCCAAGTTTTACATAGAAATACACAGAATAAATCTTTGAAAATCTCCTTCTCAAGAACTACTGGGTCAGAAAAGCTGAAACTTACGTGGAAGCATGCTGGGGTAGTGTAGATTCTAAATTGTTCAAATCATGACCCCCAGGGGTAGGGCGGGGCCACAATAAGGAATCAATGTTTTACATAGAAATATATAGAAAAAATCTTTGAAAATCTTCTTCTCAAGAACCACTGGGCCAGAAAAACTGAAACTTATGTGGAAGCATACTGGGATAGTGTAGAATTCAAATTGTTTAAATTATGATCATTGGGGTAGGGTGGGGTCACAATATGTATTACAAGGGGGAAATCTGGTAAAGAACTGAATGGCCAAAGCTTCTCAGGTGAGCGATGTGGCCCATGGGCCTCTTGTTTTAATTAATATGAGAAAAGCATATAATGTCAAGTGCCTGTTAAACAAACCTCAATTTTAAAATATTTCGCATTTATTATTTTCTGTCAGGTGTCAGCAGTGAATCTAGCTGGTGAAGGACAGGCCACAGACAAAACCCCTGAAAAGGGCCTCATCTACGATCAAGGGGGCATCACTATAATGCCGAATTTCACAGAGCCCCAGAGGCCAGACAATTTCACCATAAGGTTGAACTGGCGACCTGTACCGGGAGCGGACGGATATAGGATTACCTACCAAGACGCCATGAAGGTTCCTGTGACAGTCGACGTTAAGGGCCGCACAAAAGTCTCTACAACAAGTAAGTCAAACACATAACTATTGGTATTTGACATCTCAGATTGTAATCCTTATTCAGCTTTGTTGCCTTTAAAAATATCAAATGAGCTTTTACAACATCAAAATATCCAAAATTGATGTGCATGTATTTATCAGGTTATTTAAGTGGGTGCATTGCGTGCCCATAATGCGATTAAATGGGATGGTTGGTGAATATAGACATAAGTTCTTCAAACACTGTATTGTATTCAGTTGTTTGTTAATCCATACATTAGTCCAATTCAGTAGATTACTGTAAACCAACTTTTATTCGCGACGATTAATTTTCGCGATCAAGCCTTTTAGCATCTGTTTTTAATAGACAAATATACTATAAGGACCGGTTTGCGGCGAGAAATATTCGCGATGACGAGGCTCTCGCGAACTTCGCGAAAATTTCTGGCACGCTAATAAAAGTTGGTTTACAATATTTCTACTGATTTTAATTTTTTTGCTTGACATCTATTCACTTTACACACAGATTGATGTAGATACATGTAGGTTGTCCATATTCTGGACTCCATGGTCTGTCCACATCAGACATTGTCCAATCAGCATTAATTCTAGACAAATGTACTTTAATTTCTAAACATCAATTACCTGTGTTGAGATGCTGCTATATTATAGATAAATTGAGGATTGGTAAAAAAAAAAGAGAAGGATGTCTTTTACTTATTTTTACGCATTTGAACATTTCAGTCAATAATCTGTGTCCAGGATTTGAGTACGAATTCCAGATGGCTGCGTACAATAACCATGGCGACGGACCATCAAGATCCATCATGGTAGAGATGAACGGTAAGCTATCAACTTAATTCAGTCAAATGATACTACAGTCATATTATAGCAAAAGAATACAATTGTAGGTGAAATGATAAACTGTAATATGCCAGTCAAACTTCTATTCTTGCAATAAATCTTAAATGGTTAAATAAATACAACAGTGATTTATGATGAGTATTTCTAAAAAAGGGGTATATCTGCTTTGTTTTTATTCATAGTGTGAAGTAAAACTTCATTATAAATCTAAAATTTAATGAACATCAGAATCATAACACGCAAAATTTTTAAGAAAAAGTCAATGGAAGAGAAAAAAAAGGAAATTTCTAGAAAATACATATATTTTGAACAAGGTTTGGCTCAAACTTGTAATATGACATAAATAGTGTTACTTTTATTGCAGGTGTTATGTTAAAATAGTGACTGTCAGAAATATAGAAATCACTTCTCTGTTTACATTCAAATGATTCTTCATGTGAGAATTGTGTTTTAGGGACCACTCCAACTTTGGAGATCGCTAATGCCACAATGCAAGATAATACAGTCTTTGTGATAAGCTGGAAACCTGCACAACTGAACTTGGACAAACCAGTGCCTATAGTGAGTGAACTATCAATAAGTTAAGTTTTTAGGTAACTTAGGTCACCTGAGTTATTTAGATGTCCTTTGTCTATCAATTCATGTCTATTAAGTGTTGAATGCACTGAAATGGTTTAACACATTACAACAAAGTTTAAGCTCACCTTAGACAACTATAAAGACTTTCCTTTTCTGAAAATATCTTAATTGCATTTTACCTAACTGTTTAAGCACTCTTTTTAAGCCTGTAGAAATAAGCTTCATGCAAAGCCCTGTCACCAAACATTGCTAGTTATAAAGATTAAAAAATAATTATATATTATAGGTCTTTTGTTTTTAATTTCCAGGGTTCTCCATGAGCTGTTTTACTGTGTTGCTCCTGATATAGTAAAATTTTCTCTGACACAGTAACATTTCAATTTTTAAGCGTGCGACACAGTAAAATTTTTGCAAACACAGTAAGATCTGTGATAATCAGAAAATCCAAACATATAAATTCTCTCTAACTGAAATTTTAATCAAATAATTCTACCGTCTTCCAATTCTAACAGGTAGAGCACTTAATTAGGGCTTCACCTTGCATAATCATTTATCTCCTAGACCCTCGCTGAACTTTACGCATGAAGGAACAAAGACAAATAATTTGTTTCACACTTCCGTGTAACAGTTAATTTGTAGATGCATTAAAAATTATAATGAATAGTGATTTAGTTGCGAATTTGATAGGAAAATACCGCGAAATTTTAGTGCTTCACGTAAACTCTACACCACAGTAAACTTTCCAACGATGGAGAACCTTGATTTCTATATGTGCCTCTTTTGTTACAGAAGTAGACTGTTTACTTTAAGAGAGAATCACTGACTTGTTGTTTTAGAGTTACACAGTATTTTATGACTATGACCCTCGTGACCTTGAACTTGGCACTGACCCCAGAAAGAAGGCTAAGAATGTAACAGTAACCAATAGAAACAGTGCCACATTGAAAGGACTGAGGGCCTGCGAGTCGTACACGGCGAGGCTGGCCATGACTGCCCCAGGGTTCTGTCCCTTGTCTGACATCGCAACATTCGTCACTGGAGAAGGTATGTTGGGAGAAAGGTAGATCACAACTGGTGAATTTGCAATACTGTGGAATCATTATTGTTAATTTATCTGTTGATTGAATTGGTTGAATATACGAGTTGCCCACGAAATAACGTCCCCACGAACCAACAATACTGTTTATCCACAAACATTGACCTCAGTGAACTAAAATGATTCCACAGTAGTCAGAGGAAATTAAGTTTTAATAGTACAAAATTTATAGATTCATAGATCTATAAATTTATCACATGAGTATGCATATTTACAAGGAAAGAATTTTCAAAGCAATTATCTTGTTCCTCAGAAAGGATTGGATCATTCATAATTGTAGATATGTTCCTTGAAAACTATACTTTTCTTGGTTGTCTTTCTCCAAAAGTATATTTCTAAGAGAATCTTGTCCTTTAAATTTTTCAGATGAAAGTGCCCAGCCTGAGAATGTCAATTTCCAGTTCTTTAAGGGCAGTAAGACAAAAGGAAACCTAACATGGGAAGCTGCTTGTTTTGAGGAATTTATAGATGTGGTTTGTTTTTCATCTTTTTTTTCCTTTTGTAATGTTTGTATTAGATTTAATTTTGGGGGTAATTTTTACACTAAAGGATCTATTGAATTTTATCTTAAATTGCAATTCTTAGTGAATTGTTTGATGGTACACAAAGAGAAATCAAAAGCACTGTACAGCTTTTATTATTTATGTTTATGGACAAGTATAAATTTAAATCAATTATTTTATTTTACACATGCTTTACATTTACAATTTAGGGATATGTTGTTATAGTGACGGAGGACCGAACCAATCAAACGTTTCGATCACAGAAGTATACTGCCACTAAGGACCTGAAGTTGTTCCAGACCTTGGGACTCCTGCGGAGGGGAGCTACCTACACAGTGGTCATTCAGAGGGACGTCCAAGGGGTCCGCAATCCCCGACCTTCAGATCCCTACAAGATCAGAGTTGGTAGGTCACTCTTAGGGAGGGCTGTTTAAGAAGTCATGGTTAATTTTAAAGACTCAAGTGAACCTTTCTGCTTGAAGTTGCTTACCGTCTGTCTATTAACTTTTCACATTTTTGACATTTGCTGATACTGATATATGTACTTTATGTTTGATTATTATTGATATACTACACATATATATATACTATATGTTACATCATTAAGTACTGATACTGTTATATTGTATGTTAAAGAGCCCTATGCCAGTCCCCTGAACCTTGTGGGAACTCCCCAGTCTGATGAAGGCAAAATAACCTTGACCTGGACCCCAAACACAGTGGATCATCCAAAACCTGAAAACTTAAAGGTACACATGAATTATTCTACACATGTTCATTGAATTATTGAATGCTTTATGGTCATCACAGTACCTAGTAAGTATTGATTGCCAACCATTATATCCTATGTATGGAGTTAATTATTGCTAAAAGACTTTAAGGTCTTGTAACAGATCAATCTTATACAAGTATGTTTATAATACAGTTAAAAATGGGGTTAAGATGGTTTATTTACTATTGTGTTAAGGGATGTATTTTGCAGTATTTACATGTATATTTTCCTATAAACAGGGATATGAGGTGCAGTGGATGAGGAGCCATGAGGGAGGAAGTCACTCCCAGACTGAGTTCCAGACCCTGGGGATCCTGGGAGGGACCATCACAGACTTCACCGTCCAGAAGTTCTCTGACTACCACTTCCGAGTCCGTGTGGTGACTAAGGATGGCTATAGGGGGGCCTGGAGCCAGGAGTATCACATGACATCCTCAGGTATGAGTAGTATACTCGTCACTTAGATACAAGAGTGTTCAATCACAGACAAATACAAGTGGACAACTGTAACTTGAAGTCGTTTTTGTTTGTCTCTATTAATATGAATTTATATTGATTTTTCAGAGGTGATTGCAGAGCCCCAGAGTTCTACAGTTACAATGAATAAAACAAATCTCATCGCTATCATTGTCTCTATTGCCACTGTTGTCATTGCTCTTGTCGTCGTTCTCGCCTTCTTTATCATCAGACATCGCCGACTTCAGAGAAGCTTTATGGCGTTCGCCAACAGTCACTATGATTCCAGATCAGGGACGACGACATTTAGCGCCAATGATATCGGTAATTACACTGTTATTTAATCAAATGTTAACATGTACAACTGGTAACAGTTTTGTTAATTTGAATATTTTCTGTTTTCTTATTATTTTCCATCGTCAAATACATCTTTCAGAATGTTTCCTCCAGTCAGTTTTAAAATTCAAGCAAATAAACACACATCCCTTTACATTCATCAGAAAATAGAGAGTAATAAAACAAACATCTTTTTCAAATATTTCAAAGTTTCATCGTTTTTTCTAATTTTTTTTTTTAAAAAGTACATTGGTTATAATTTTTTTTAAACACTTCAAGCAGGGATGTATGGGATTTACTTGTAAGGAAACTAAATGTCTTTGAAAATCAGCTTGTATTAAAGAATAATTTTTTTGAATTGAGGACATTTTGTACATTGTACATGTTCTATTTTTAGGTGAAGAAGAGGATTCTCCTATGATACGGGGATTTTCTGATGATGAGCCCCTTGTGATAGCATAATGGACAGAGACAGAGAGCTTGTGCCATGTGTGATCTCCGATGAGATCATACGTATTGTGATATACTGTCTTTGTCAGACCTTGTCACCGTGTGACTTTTCTGTGATTTTACGATACATATTTCGAATTTAATCTTTCAAGGTGTATGTATTTTTGAAAATTTAGTAACCTCATTTGTTTTGGAAAAATATTCTGCTTTTTACATGTATATACTACATGTAATGTTACTACATGTAATGTAAGTGTTCTTTTTGGATTTTTATAACACTTCATTTTCTTCTGTATTGAGTCTTTTACCATTATCATATTTAAGGACTTGTATATCTAATAACCTGAGGGAACTCATCATTTGTTTTTATAAGTGTTGATTTATGGCAATAGCATCTATTTCATTTCATTTTAATGTTTACACGTCATTAATTTGTTTATTGTAAGATTATGAAGCTTCACAAAGGTCTGGCCCTGGAATCATGAAACATCTTACTATGTAGACAAAATCTTCATAATCTACTAAAATGTAGCAGCAAAAAATAAAAAAATTATTAATATTGCTCCATAATTAGGGCCCCGCAAGGATTTGCGGGTGCCCTATAGTAATCACTCTGTCTGTCCGTCCGTCTGTCTGTCTGTCTGTCTGTCTGTCCGTCTGTCACTCTTCCGTCCACAAATTTTCTGTTTTTTTCTAATAACTTTTTTTATAGTTGCCCAATCAAGTTCAAATTTGGTATGGTAGTTCAGTAGGCAGAAATACATATTTTGATGCTAAGTTTGCTTCTCTATGTCTTCTGGTTTGGAGCTGGGGTGGTGGGGTAGATTTTAACTATGCTTAAGAATGACTGGGCAACTTTTTTTATGGTTGCCCAATCAAGTACAAATTTGGTATGGTAGTTCAGTAGGCAGAAATACATATTTTGATGCTAAGTTTGGTTCTCTATGTCCCCTGGTTTGGAGCTGGGGTGGTGGGGTAGATTCCTTAACTTTATATACAAAAGCAGTGGCAAAGAGAGATAACTGCTGAAGATGTTGCCATTGTAAACTGAATGCTTCTATGAGTCCCTTGGGATTAATTAGCTTTCCTCCTGAAGAAAATCCAGAGCATTATCTTTATCTGTCAAATTGAGATGAATTACCACCTCTGTCTGCAAATGAAGTTTGTTTTGAAGTTAAGTCAATTTGAAATGCTATGAACACTCTGAAATGTGGATTTAAATATAAATATTTATAATTTATTTTTGTTTAAAAGTTGTGATTTCTTTGAATTCTAATAACAAGAAATAGATTAAAGAAGATTTTTTGATTTACTTTTTTCACTTTATGTTAATTCAAGAATATTATTAATTTTTAGGATAGTTGTATAAAAACACCATTTTATCATTAATACTGAAAAAGTTCTTATTGTAACTTAAGAAGAAAATGATGAGAGAGGTACAATTAATCCCTTGGGATTAATTATCTAGCCTGCTGCAGAAAATTCAGTAGGCTTATCTTTATCTGTCACTTTAAGATTAATGAAACCCCTTGTCTGCAACTGCTGTTTGTTTGAAGTTAAGGTCAAGCCTTCATGATACATGTATTTGCATTCATTGAAGGCTGGCATTTTATATAACACATGCTTCATAATCATGATAATTGTTTAAATATACATTCAATGTTAAGTTGTTTTTTACTGCCTAATGTAAATACAAGGATATTATTTTCAGGTTTTTGAATATTCAGGAATTATCTTGAAATTTTAAGAATACAGTCGCTGTTGCTTATTCTTCGTACATTTTTTTATCATTCTGTAAGCTGCACCCTATTAATTCTACCCCATGGCGGGGCCCTTGCTGACTGGTCAGTTTTCTAGTTGTTTTATCATCTGCAAATTAAGGGAGTAAAATAAATAATTAGTGAAATTTTACAGAGGATTGAAGATTTGACTTAAGTCAAAGTGTGTTTCATGATTCTATAACTAGTTTTGTAGCTAAAAAAGAAGTTAAAAAGACACAAAATTGATTGGTTTTCTTTTATATGTGTTTAAGTTATATGAAAACCTGTCGGTAAACATTTACCAAATTTTACACAAGTAAACATTTTAATGAAAATGTGAAATCTAAATAATGTTAAGTATTTTTGATACCAAACAAGTCGGTGTGTAAATGTAGGTGAATTAGCATATCAATCAGAATTGTGTACTTCTGCTTATAGAATTATACATTCCACTTTATAGCCTTAAGTTTGCTCAGAATTCATTGTTCTTATGAATAATTGTGCATGTTGATAGGGTAGAAGGAAAAAAAATGAATGGAATGAGAGAGAGAGAGGGAGAAAAGCACTGAATTCCTGTTTACTTTTTCATGGTTCTAAAAATAATTGTTCTTTAAAATTAGAGATTATTCGGTAGAGAAAATGTTCTCATGGAGATTTTTGATAGTGCATTTGTTAAAGACTACTTTGTTGCAAAGTTTCATTATTTGATATTATAATTTTTGTATAAGAATTATAGTAAGATAATAACTCATCTTAGTAGGACAATTTGGTAGAGGAATTTCTGAAGCCAGGGAGCAGGATCTGCTATTTACATTTGTTGGATGATATTTGATGTCTCTTTGTGAAATATATCTGATTTTCTAATGACACAAGCACATAAATATGTTTTGATGAGATTTATTTTCATTACATGTTTCACATTTTCATATTTTTTTTTAAAAAAAAGACCTATAAACCGTTGGTGTGATTCTGTTGACATGTAAAAATATCTTATTTCTATATGACACTATTGAAAGGATGCCTTTTTTTTTATTTGTGTTACTGTAGATGTACTTTTTTCCACGGGGTCACAGTTCCGCGGAATTGCAATTTCTGTTTAGTCCGCAGGTAGAAAATTATGCGGATTTTCTAGATTGTCACTATATGCCTTACATTTGTATTAAGTACGCTTGGACAAATTTTTGCGGAAAACCTGTGACCGCGTAACAGTACATAGCATAAATTAATACCACGCAGAAAAAAGTACTTCTACGGTATTTTTATGTCAATACATAGGAAATGATACTGATTTTTGAAGACATATCCATTTATCTACTGATTAACTGAATCTCAGCTGTCTTAACTGTTATATGTATATTGTCCTGTAGAAAGTGCTACCACTCTTTGTTTTTGTCCCTATAACATATACTGATGAAATTCTGTCGATCTGTTTTATGGCTGAGAACCTATATACCTCATTTTCTTTTCTACTATCCCTTCATACAGCATTTCATTTTTCATCGTGCTCTTTTTTTCTCAAGCAAATGGTGAAGATTTTATTTTAATTGAAATCTTTGCCATCCTCAGTTTCTACAATAAAAGAATGAGGAAAGAAAATATAAAGTTTGTCATGATAATTATTTCATATGGTGTACATGTGAATGTCTTGTATTTGCTATTGCTTCTCTTATTTCTAATATACTCCTGACCAAAGACTGCTTACTAGGAGACATGGATATGAGTTGTTGAGATACATGTATATTAACCAGAATTTTCTCTGAATCCTAAGCAATCTGATGGTGAATTGCCCTGAATGTTTTGATATGTTTCTTTTAATTTACTTTAGTTATCTGAGCAGCAATCTATGTATTACATCTGACTTTAAAAATAAAATGTCAAGATTTTAAAATCACTTCGCAAATATAGTAAGGCTCTCCATTAATAAAGTACCATGTTAATTTAGATTTTTTTTTAAATAAAGGTATTGCCTAGTGATAAGGCTATTTTCTGCGTTTTGTATATCGGAAAGTTTTTACCCCATCCCCTTAATTTGTCATTACACATGTTTGGGTCAATTGGCAGTTTGTATTATTTTTTTAAGCTTCCTAAATTTATGTTTTTCGTTGGTTTATTTTTCATACATGTATTTAGTTGTTGAATGCATATTATGTTGTATTACTTACTCAAAGCTTGAGATGAATTTTTGCTTTATTTGTTTATTAAACATCACCAAACTTTGTTTCTTTTCACTGCGTTTGAACTTAAGGAAGACTTGGTTTTAGATTAAACTTTCAATTTATTGCTCTACTCAAGTGAGTAGACAATAGCATTTTACCAGTTAAATGCTACATAGCATACAGATTCTAGATAGCAGCTACTACTAAATAGCACATAGCTACATGTAGTAGATAGCTCACAGCTACTAAGGAGCACATAGCTACTAGATATCGCATAGCTATGAGATAGCACACAGCAAGTTGCCAGCTAGATACATTACAGAACTACTAAACGGCAAACAGCTACTAAGTAGCACATAGCTACTAGATAGGACATACTTTCTCTATATAGCACACAGCTACTAGAAAGCTCACAGCCACTAGATAGCGCTGTCTTCTAGATAGCACACAACTTATAGATAGCAAACAACTGAGAAAATGTGTAATAGGTCCCGTATGATTGTTTGACCCAAATATCAAGGCGCTAACCAGCACTCCTGTAGATGTCATAAAAAGTTGACCAAAGTTGATTGAGCATATAACCTTTGTATTCTGTTAAAGCGCTTAAAGAGAATGATAAGATTTTTAAAGGATATTCACTGTAAGGACACGGAGACACTGGAAGAATGAACTATAAAATTTTGGTCTGATTCGCAGGTTTCACTAGAGAGGAGAGAGACAACTGAACAATTGAGCTGGACTTCAAAGAACGAGGGCGCTTTTGATTGACATTCGGCAGGAATCTGAGCGTAATTGAAAAGTGAAAAATTTTTCGTCATGTCACATGAAATTTAAAAAAAAAATTTATTTATCGGGTTCCTGTACAACAGGAAAGGAAAATATTTTCCAGAAATTGAGCTTTGGTTTGCTAAAAAATAACTTGAAAATTGGCCAGATCAGACATTTGGTACAAAATGGTACATTTTTAAACACGTTTTTCTAAAATTTTTATATCTCTGGGTCTTCTCTCCATGATTTTGAAACGTTATTTGTGTGTATTTTAATTCAAAGAAACGAATACACTTTTTTAAAAAGTGGAGAGAAGACCCAGAGACCACGAAAAACGAACTTTTCCCCCAAAAATCCAAATGTGTGAATGTGGTGCTTCTTTGTCCTTTTAAAATCATCTATGTATCTGCAGCGGTGATAGCTCAGAACGATGGGCTACGTGTTCAGTGCACTGGACTCGAAAAGTTTTTGGTTCGAGCCTGGCATGGGGCGTTAATTTTTTTTCTTTCATGCCAACAACCATTTATTTTCTCAGTTTCGTTTTATGTACTGATATATTAAAATTTTGAATTAGATTAATTTTGGTTCAGTTTGCTTCTCGAGCGAAATCAATTCTAATCTTCTATTCTATATAATGTACATCATGTACACGTATCATGCATCAATATGCATTAAATATTTTAGATGTTATTTTTTGTGAAACATTACTATGTTATAGTACCCCCTAGGAAAAACGGACAAAAATGTTACAATCTCAGACTTTCAAACTAATTGAAAAAAACCTATGGACGTGTTTGTAAACTCGGACAAACTATGTTCAGCCAACCAAATAATGGACATTTGAACCATAAATGTTTCGTACAAATGATTCCTGCAGATCAC